TCGTACAGCTCCTTGATCTTCCCCGTCGCGTCGACGTATTTCTAAAAGGTGAAAGTTGATTAGATTCGAAAACAGATAAGATCTTTAGTTTACTTACATCCAGAAGGTACTTGACGCGGTGGTCCGAGTTGATGTGCTCCCGATGCTAAAAGAGAAGATGTGAAAATAAAACCAAAAAACAGTCCACTTTTGTCAAGTTACCGTACTGCGCTTGGCAATCAGCTCGCGCACCATGGCGTACTCCAGGCGCTCCCGCTCCTCGTGGTGCCCTCGATGCGCCTCCAAAATGCTCTCCATAATTTAAAAAGATCCTAAATAAATACTGGCCAGAAAAACAAATGAGAGAGATCTTCAAAATCCACAAAAGAATCTCTCGTAATGTTTTGCACAGCCGAAACGCAAGACAGCTGCAAAACATCACAGCCATCCCCTTCATAGAAAGCGTTACACGACCGGCAAAAAGCGTCCCGAACATTTCGAAACACAAACTCCCAAAAACAAAGATAAACTCCACCGAAAGTCGATGACAAAAAACGCTTTTTATTTTGTGAATTTTACATTTTTAACGCTTTTCCACCTACGCGACCACCTGAGCGACGGGCACGATGGGCACCTTGGCCTCCTTCGACTCGGAGTACGGGTGCGCCGGCATGATCTCCTCTTTCGGGTTGACGATCTGCACATTGTCGGGCAGCGGAATCTTGGGGCCCTTCTTTCCGGTCACGTCGTGATCGAGCATGATCTTCACCTTGATGCCCAGCACGCCCTGTCGCAGCAGCACATGGCGGACGGCGACGTCGACGTAGTCGTTCTTCGGCTGGCCAGAGTGGATCATCCACCCGTCGACGAACTTCATGCTCTTGGCACGCTGGCCGCGCAGCTTGCCGCTGACCACCACCTCGCAGCCCTTGGCGCCCGACTCCATGATGAAGCGGAGGACGCCGTAGCAGGCGCGGCGGACGGCGAGGCCGCCGATCAGCTTGTAGCGCAGCGACTCGCACTGGGCAATGGCGCACAGGCCGCGGTCGGCAATCTTCAGGGCGAAGAGCTAGTGAATGATTGAAACAGAATTAGAATTAGAAAGGGGGTGATCGAGTGGTTGACACAGCTGAATGAACAGATGTCAACAACGAGTGTTGGAAAGTAGAACACCGAAACAAAGCTTACCTCGACCTTATCCTCGGCAAAGTTGAAGCGCTTCTGGACGAGGGAGGTCAGCTCGCGGATGCGGCGCCCCTTCTCGCCGAGGACCGACTGCGTTCGCGTGGCGAGAATGATGATGCGGGTCTTCGAGGCGAGGGTGTGCACCTCCAGGCCGGAGTAGCCGTCTTCGGCCAGCTCCCGTCGGAGAAACTCGTCCAGCTCGGCGCGGAAGACGCCCTGGTTGACAAACTAATGGCGGAGGGGGAAGAGCACATGGTTATTCGGAAAATCTCCAGACCGGAAAAGGCGGCAACTTCGAACTTACACTGCGCTTTTTGGAGATTTCCTTGGCCATCGTGGATCGATGTAAATAGAAGAGACACAGCAGCAGTCAGGGCGGAAGAGGCTGAAAGAACGAGCGAGGATATCGACAACGTGCGACAGCGCTGCAGAACGGGGCAGCGACCGGTGGGGCGCCAGTTCACAGTGGACGTACTCTACTGCTAAGTGACTGACTGGCAGCGGGCATTGGGGCACTGCGCCACCGCTGGTGTCCACCACTTGTGGGGCTGGTCGTAGAGGAGGTGCGGGTGAGCTGAGATTTGACGGAGTCCGCTTTCTGATTTGTGTTTATTTTGGATTCTGCATTCTCTGATTCTAGCGTTCTATATGAAAGGAAATGGCTTTCGAAAACAAGAGAAACTCTTGGTTAGAATAAGAACACCGTTTCAAAGGATAAGAGAGGAGTCATATCAGTTTTTATTTGATACTTTGCAAAAAACATCAAGACAGACTGTAAAAACATCCAAAGAAGCAGATGAAGAATCTGTCTAGGCCTCGGCAGCCTCCGCCTTGATTCTCGCCAGGACGGCCTTCTTGCGCTGCTCGACCTTGTTCTTCTTGGCGGCCAGCGTCTGCTTCGGCAGGTGGTACTTCTTGATCGGCCCGGTCGGCTTCTTGTGCTCCTTCTTCGCCGGCGGCGACGGGTCCTTGCGGATGGCGGCGTGGGCTGCGGTGTAGATGCCCTCGATCTAGATTGAACCGAATAGAATAGAAAGGTTAGAACAATGCTCAATGTAACTCCTGTTCATCGCATCCTACCTCGTCGCCGGTGACGCCGAGCTTGATGTACTTGCTGAACTGCTTCTTGTAGGCCTCCTCGTCCTCCTCCAGCANGTAACTCCTGTTCATCGCATCCTACCTCGTCGCCGGTGACGCCGAGCTTGATGTACTTGCTGAACTGCTTCTTGTAGGCCTCCTCGTCCTCCTCCAGCAGGTTCTTCATGTAGTCGGCGACGTGCTTGCCGAAGATGTGCTCTCGGTGCACCTCGGCGTTGAACTCCTTCGCCTCGGCGTCGTAGCCGGGGAAGCGCTTCGTCGAGTGGGGGATGTCGATGCCGCCGTCGCTGGCGCCCTTCATCGCGCCGAAGACGCGGGCGCCGGTGGTGGTGCGGGCGAGGCCGACGTCGAGGAAGCAGCGGAAGGTGCCGGGCTGGTCCTCCTGCTCCTCGGCGAAGAACTGGTCGCCGGTCACCTCCTCGGCGCCCTTGTAGATGCCATCGAGCTTGAACTTCTGCAGGAGGCGGCGGGCGAGGAGGAGGCCGGTGCAGTAGGCGGCGGCGTAGTTGGTCAGGCCGACCTTGACGCCGTAGCGCGGCAGCTCGTGGGCGTAGGCGGCGCAGACCACCTGGTCGCCCTCGATCTTGGCGTAGGCCACCTGGCAGATGATGTCCTTGTTGGTGAAGCGGACGATCATGCGGTACTTCGGCGTGTTGTACTTGTTCTTGTCCTGCACCACCAGTCGGCGACGGGCGTAGTAGTCGGTGCGGCCCTCTGCAAAGGGGGGGGGGTAAGGTTAGTCAAGTTCACTCAAAGTAGAAACACCAAACAAACAAACACTCACCCCGACGCCTCTTGAACTTGACTTGGAAGCGCTTGAAGTACGCCTTGTTCTTCACCACCTTCACGAATCCGGCCTAGAGGGGAAGTAGTAAAGGGTGAACATTAAACTGTTGTCTTGTAGATTTAAGCGGAAATGCCGTACCATTTTAGAGCAGAAAGTTGGGACGTTGGACAATCAAAAGAATGCAGGCTATGGAGCACGCGATCGGCCAGCCAGCAAAGGAAAGAGGAAAGGGAATCGACAGCCAGGCGCTGCTTTGCACTGCAGCCGCGTGGAGAGGCTGCCGCCGCCGCGAGAGGCGCTACTGCTGATTTAGAAAAAGTGCACCGCCCGTCCGCAGAGGACGTACTCGCGTGGCCACTGTTTTGTTTACGCGCTTTGGCGCTAACGGACGCTC